AGAACCGTAACCAATTTTATAAGTATTTGTAAAAATGAGTGTAATCTGTATGATTATCGCAATGCGAGCAGTTAATACTATCGTATTATTGAGACAGGCGCGTTTAATAGATTGCTCGACAATCAACGTATTTTCTTTCACCCTCTCTCTCATTCTATATATACATATATATACACACACACACACAATATAATATAATATCTAACGGCTACTTATATAAATATAATCCCGCCAAAGAAAATGAGTTTTTTTTATTTTTTTTTTTTTTTTTACAAATTGAGCATATTATTATGGTTTAAGACGTGATGTCTTTTTTTTTTAATACGATCGTCTCGTGATTATTATTGTTGTATAGTTTTTCATTTGGTTTAAGTGGGCTTTCTTCAGTGCGCCGTTTATTCATCAATATATAACGGCAGTACAATGGAAAAATAAAAATATCACATCATTGTGTAGGATTGACATAAAACCATTTATATCTTTGAATCTTTCCGTTGTTAGATTCTATCTACAGCATAAGAGTTTGTCATTAATTATCAATCATTTTATTTAATTCAATAAAACGTCATCGTACACTGTACGGCTTATACCGAATATCATATAGGTGCGTATAGTATCTATTTAAATTCTGGTATGATTTTGAGAATAAAAATTATTAAGCTTTAGCACCTGTATAGATTTGATTGGATAAATGTGAATACTTTAATTAATCAGTAATACATTGAGAATACCAGCTATATTTTTATCTTCTAATAAGAAACTTTTGAATTTAATATTATTAAAATATTATACTTTAACTATTTTCAAATTTGATTATTTCTATATTACGTAGGTGCCTTATATACGTGTTTAAGATTTTAAAATATTAGAATACTTAATAGATTTCAATGTTTATTCTTACTATTAATATATTGTACATATGTATATATATGTTCATACTAAATACTTATGAAAATGTCAGTTCCCTGTTCGCTTTGCTCGCTAATCTCTCTTTATTGTTTTTTTTTCAAGTTGAAAACTTATAATAAATATTCGAATGACAAATAATACAATTCACGTGTTTTATATTTTAAATAAAATATAGTAAATACGTTGCTGTAATACCTCACATAAAATAGTATAATATGTATATTGGTACATTATACTACAAAATCAATATAGGTTTAATGATTAATAAGTATATTATGTTTGAAAATGTTATCAACACTTAACTTTTTCATTCAAATATAATAACATACATATACATACACTAATAAATAGTTATAATTTATTTAAAGTATTATTAAAAAGGTGTATCGTTATTAAAAGATCCTTCCGTGCAGTTTATTTTCTATATAAATTCTAATTTAAATTACATAAATTTCACATATTATTATCTACATTCGCCCTTTTTAACTCTTCTGTGAACCTCTTCGCAAATAGTGTAATTTTAATACTTTATTGTGCATGTTCTCCATTTTTAATATCTACTGGCTAATATTTTCTGTACATCATAATTACACGGTAGATATCACGAATGTAGTTTTTTTTACTATAATGTACAATAGTAAAATCAAACTTGTTTCACAAAAATCAGTAAAATTGTATCGATAATGTTTCTATAATTCTATGTTATTATATGTATATGTATTTTGTACAAAGATAATAATAAATTTATTGTTTATGAAAAATTTACCCATACAAATATATTTTTTAAGCTGTTTAGGTTATATATAGAATTTTTGGATATATTTTGATAAAAAATACCTCTAAATAAAGTATTGATTGTCAAGACGTTTGTCTTTTAAAAAAAAAGTTATTTTCTAAACCACTTAAGAATATTTTTTAAATTAAAAATGGATATTCTAAACATCGAGGTAAATAATTTATAGAAATGTAAAGACTATTTTTGAAAAATCCAGAAGTAAATCCAGACACCCCTAATGTTAACATCATTATTATGATTTATTTTTAAATTATACGTAATGAATTCTATTTTATCATTGTTAAATTATTAATACCAAATATTTTTTATCTATAATTGATTTGAAACAACATAAAATATGTTAATAAGATCTAATAATAGATATTGATGTTGGAAGCTAACTTTATTATATAGATACAAAAATGTTCATTATAATATTAATACAATTCTGTTTTTGTTAGATGTTTATAATAATAAAGTTTCTTTACATAATATATACTCGTAAGTAGATTTATAAAATGTTATAATTTTAGTTTTTTCATTTGTGTTGATAACAATTTACAACTATAATTATTTAATAATTATTTCCACGGAAAAATAAAAATATTTTTTATAAGTTAAAATCAATTTATTAAAAATAATAAATGTCTGAAACTAATAGAGTAAGGATTTTTATTTTTATACTTTATAGTACCCTAGACTGTAGCACTACTATTTAAAAATATATTTACGTGTGTTTTAACGTTAATCTTACTTATTAATTATATTTAATTTATTAATTTAAAAAAAATATTTATGATAATAGTTGATGTATACGTATTACATATGTATTATTAAAATATTAAATTTATGTAACAATTATCTCTCAAATTCAATAGATTTGCTTAAATAATGTATAATGTTAATGATGGTTTAGTAGGTATACATAAAATAATCACAACTCAATAAATTTTTATTTGTTTGAATGCAAAACTAATATATTACCTTTAGATTTTAGTATATTACGTAAAAACAAAAATAATTTATAATATTAGTTACAAATTACATAATATAATATGCATCTAATTATAAATTACTGCGGAGTAAGTTTTAAATTAATTATTTAATCAATTCAAAAAATACTTAAAAACTATTAAGGTATTTATTTATATAAACAAAATAAATTGTTTTTTTTTTTTTTTTTATAAAATTAAAATTATACAGCTATAATTGATATCAGATACAATGTTTTCTTTAAAAATGAATAATATTTGTATAGATTTGAATCTGCCAATATTTTATAGTTGCATTTTTATTTTATCAATGTCTAAAATAATAATTATTAATTTGAAAAGTATTTATTAGAAAAAATTAGCATAATAAATTGTAATCATACATTTTTAATTTTTACTTTTATTTCTCTTCGAAAGAAAAGTATTATAGTTGTTACAAATTATGGTTATTTACGTTTATTGCGTGTACGAATTACCTTCATAGGTATAAATTATAATTGACCTATAGCTTAATAGAATGTATTTCTAAATTATCAATTACCAAAAATTGAAAATAAGTACTAATATTATTGGGTAAATTATAAGCTATTTTTTGTAACTATGATTAATAACTATAATGTTGTAAACTTATAATTTATAATATTAATTAATACTTCTTAGTATTAATCGATATAATAATATAGTAAATTAATTATTTTAAATTAATTTACTAGTAATATAATACACATTATACATATTATGTATATTGATTTTATATTCAAACTTTATTTAACAATTAGTTTTAATAATTAAAATATTGAACTTTATTTAAAAGATTAAAATGCTAACTTTGAAAAATCAATATTTAACCTGTGGTCATATTTGGTTAAAGAATAATATGGTAAAAGGAAAATATACGGAGAATATGATAAATTATTGTTAAATAATAAAATATATAGTATATATTTCAAATTGTATAGTGATTCAATTGTTGGACAATTGAAATAAAGGCAATATATTATAGGCTGACTGTGATGATAATTATTGGTAGTATAGATGAGATGGTATAGATTATGGGACTATTATTGAATGTTTAGAATTCATATATAATTATTAATTTGTAATATTTGTCTCATATTTTTAATTAATTAGAAATTTTAGTTTTTTATTAGGTAGGTTAATCAAATAAAAATAAAAATTAAGATTCAAAAATATATTTTATTGATTCCTAATAACAGATCCAGTTTAAGGAGAGAGTGATTTATTACACTATAGTCTATAAAACTACAACTATTTTTAATATAACAGTTTTCAGTACCTATAATAAGTACTACCTATATATTAAACAACCATAGCTCATATCCTATTCGATTCCAGCTATATTTCTACCTAAATTGTAAATTTATATCTTATGTCAATTATCCTGAGTACTTATCCTAGTAGTCGACTTTTGTAAACATATTTCAACTCGTCATGAAACTTACATGAAAAAAATTTTTCAACTTTTCTAATCTAAAAAATGGAATATTTATTTTAAATTTTGAATATAATATCAAGAAATTTAAATATTAATATTGAATTAAAATTACTACCTAATAATCTCTCATTACATAGGTACATTTTTACACGAAACGCACTCACGCGTGTACTTGACTAATTGCCTATATTTAACTCCTTAAAAATAGTCATCTTCAAATTCCCTTAAATGTTGATAAAATTTAAACTTTGTTTTAAAACTGTATCATTAAATTGATATATGTATATTATCTTTAAAGCTAGATCTAGTGTGGGCACCTGCCTTATTACAACTAAATTTGGACCTAGTAATGATTATTCTACGTATATTAATAATTTATAGAATATTTTTATTTTTTTGATTTAAGATATCAACTCTTTTATTCCCACATAATACAAAATATAATTCCTTTATTTTTCATAAATAATCAAATAAATAATTTTCTTATAGGTACTTAAAAACTTCTACAATACATTATATTAAGCTAATAAAGTAGTTAAAAATGTGTAGGTATATTTTAAATATTATAGTTAAAAGATACAATTAAAATTGTATTCAATATTTTTTGATGTTCATATAGCTATAATGTTAAAAACCAGATAACTATATTATCTGATAACATAAATAACTGCATGTATTATACGATTGTTATTATGCATAATATAATTTAAATTTTTTTTATTTCAGAATATTTTGATTTCTATATGGTCACGATTATTAAAGTAATTCCTGTATTAAACATTTTGTGGAGCCTACGAACAAAGCAGTGAACTAATTATAGTTCCTTAAATAGTCAATTTCAATTAACAACAATAAAATTGAAAAAAAAATGGCTAATTCTACATCAGTGACTAAGTGCACTGATTTTTCCGTGTCCAGCCTCTGCCGAGACATGAAGACTTCACCTCCTGATCCTGCTATCGTAGTCGGTGGAACCGGAACTAATATGAAATTAACATTGCCTCTTGCCGCTTGCGCACCATTCTCATCCAACATCAATGGACCAACAAGTAAGTTTTAAATGATCATATTACTTCGTATATTCAAGTTTATCTATGTACAAAAATAAGATTTTATTAAAAATAAAGTTCAATTAGCATAGACTATTACCATCAAAAATAAAATAAAAGATTTAGATAAATGTATGATTTGGTCAGGTACATTATAATTTTATATATTCATAGTCGTCTAACCTAATTCAACTTGAATGTAATAAATATTTGTAGATAATTATTAGTTTTAAAAATGTTTTTTTAATTTTTTTCATTAATATGTTTTTTATTTTTTTATTGCATATGACGTAATTTCGATTAGTTTTCATAAACATTTAGAAAATTAATTGAAATAAAATAAATATATAAATAATTAAATTATTTAATAATACAATTAAACAAATAAATAAATGAATAACGAATACAAGAATAGGGGTAAATTAATTTGGTTAAAGTAGTAGGTATAGAGTTCGCAAAAACTATGTTTAAAATGTAACTATATTTCTAACAGTTTTATTATATTACCTAACCTACAACATATATTATATGTATATACGTATATATTGTAATAATTAGCTTAAAGGTCTAAAAATATTAAACTATATTTTTGTGTTTTGTACTTGTAATCAAATTTATGAAATGTTGAATTGCCAAAGTTAAATACTATAAATAATACTTTGGAAAAAATGTGGCATTAGAAATTCTGAAAAAATTAGTTTATTAATTTAAATCCCTAGAATTATATGATATTAGATATTATATTAAATAATCGGTATTATATTTCAATATTTTTTAAAGAGTAACAATTAATAATAAAATATTAACAAGGCGCGCCGTAATATAAATATTAATAACTAAATTTATTTTGATATAATTTATTATATGCTAGATTTAAAATATATATAAATAAAGTGTACAGTTTATGATTGATATATTATAATAAACATATTAATCTAATAAAAGTGATGTTAAACCACGTTTTAAATCTTGAATTATTAACGTTTAAATTGAAAACTAATGTTTTTATTTTTTTCCTGCATTGAGGCTCTTGTAAAATATTCACATATAACAATTTAAAACATTTATTCGTACATGTAGTTTTTAAAAAACCAAAATTTTACTAATTTTTAGTGAAAAATTATGCGTCGTGTTTGATGTAGGTGTAATAAAATAAATATTGATAGCAGCTACACTATTTTTTGAAGAATGTAAAATCAAACTGGTTTTACTTGAAACGCCATTTGGGCAATTAAACTATTATTATACTCTAAATGCTTCATTATATTAAACTGTATTAAATTTTTACTTCAATTCGTTATTTTATCGTTAAAGTTATAATAAACACACCTCATAAATTAGATTACTTACTATGAAGAGTTCTATATTTAGCATAATATATTTTTTTTCAAATAATTTTTGCTTAATTAAATAAAAGTACACGTACTTTAAAATTAAATCGTTTATACAATTATTTGTCTTGTGTTTTATACAACACATAACTTTTTTTACATAACTTACTGATAGCTTATTATATTTATATAAAAATGGTGTTTTAATATTAAAGCATTTTTATTCATTTGATTTTAACTACAACATTTATATTTATAAAAATAACAAATTAAATTACATAAAACTAATTCATAAAAAAAAAAATCGATCGTATCTGCTATAGTATTAACTGACAACTTAGAATTATATAGTTAATAGAAGTTTATAACAATATTGACTATATTATACTAAGACGTTAAATATTAAATTAGTTGCAATAATCTATTTATATTTTTTTTTTTATTAAATTTTCAAAACTTTCAATACTTAGGTTTTTTTCTTTTCGTTACATTATAGAATGTTCTTCTCGGTGAGTTTTAAAAGTGAGACACGATTATTAAATATATTCAGGTAATTACAGATAGACATTTTTAGTTACATAAATACAACACGCCATACTATTGATACATACCACCTACTGTTTACCTATTTATACTTATAAATGTATATAAAACAATTAAAAATATATAATTTTAAAGTTTGTTTCTAAACTAACTATACACTGAATTATTAATTTAATTGAATTTTCTTATAAATCATAGTATATTATACATATTAAATAAAACAATTTTATAATATTACCTACATAGTAATATTATCTATTTATAGTTTAAATTGAAATATATAGTATTAATCTTTACTTGGCTCATATAACTACATTATTTATTATTATCTTCTCATAATATTGCGGTTTAAACAAATTATGTTAACGACATACATAGATGATTTGATGTATCTTCGTGATTAATAATGTATCTATAGTCTACGTAATGAATTTCAATAAATTTATTTTTATAAAAATCAATGTTATTAATGTCTAAGATTATCATGAGATTTATAAATCCACGATCATTAGGATTATACGTTGTATGTAGATACGTGATACGTGAAATCTATAAATAAATACGATCTATGTATTATGTATTAGGAGTATTAATTTTGTCTAGAACATATATGCCAAGACTGAATTATGATACTTAAAGATCTAGATTTTACTACCTATTGCTAAAGTATATGTTTATTCAGTCAACCCGTAGGCGCCACTGTCTGACAGTGCAGTTCTCTCGTTAGATGATTGTAGAGATATTATAGCTGCATGAAACATTGAATTGTACTTCGAACACTTGACCGTAAATGTAAAAGGAAACAACGTTTTCAGAACATATTATAATCTTAAATACGTTATTTATATCAAGCTATACGTGTAATAGATATACATATATGTACAAAAATAAAGTGCGTCAAAATCATCTGTCAAAATCTATTGAGACATAGCGACAAGTTTAATACACGTGAGAAAACACATATCGAAATCGATTAACTCCTTCAAAATGTAAAAACGCTAAGATCTGTAGGATGGATGTAACATTTTAGTCACGAAAACTCTCGACAAAGTCGTGAGTATCTATTGAATCTCAATAGCGTACTGTATAATATGCTCTGAATTCACAATTATTAATTGCATCGAATCGTTCTTATGGTATATAATATAATGTATGGTTATAATATATACCATATTACACAGATATATTATGATATATGTACGCACGTTATCCATACAATCTGATTAATTTTGCACATACTATAAAGTCTCTTATTGAAACACGATTGTTCCCAATCCTCTAACAGTTAAGAACAAAATGTATTTGTTTTTTATTTCCTTGTCGGACATCCATCATCCAGTGCAATTGAATCGTGGAATGAATTAACGATTTCTGCAGTAATACGCTATTCAATTAATTCGGGGCCCGATGATGGGGATTGAAAATTTAACCGGGCCTTGTTGGCGGCCGTTGTACTGACACAATATTATTTGAAAAATATCAACGTCTCTACGTCTCGCTTATCGATATAATTACACACATTTCAAAACGTATTCAAAATTATTTGTTATCAAGACAATTCTAAACACTTTGTACTGCAGCTTAACAGTCGGCATGTGGATTTAGTAGTTGCTTAGGTTTCGACGCATATTATTATATGCAATCGCAGTCAGATAAACGCACACACTCACACATACACACACGTGTTATATAAATTAAATATAATATACCATAGGAATAATATACACGTTATACATATAAAGCATTGACAATGAATCTCAAGGCGTTCGGGGTGTCGCGGAACATGCTCATGAAACTTTGCTAATATCTCTGCGCGCCGATCAATTTGGCATGGCTATAGCGTACACCATAAACATATTATGTATACAAGTTTCGAGCGGGACAACTACCTATATTATTAAAAACAGTCTTGGCGGGTGAACATGTTGGCAACTGCAGCGGCGGGGGGGGGGGGGGGGAGACGTTACATGCGCGCTGGTGTCGGATTAAGACGTTTATTGATGCAAAAATTATTTTCTGCCCTTCCAACTAAATATCATCAATGAAAATTAATTTTCTCTGTTCCCCATTGAGTTCAAGCTCATTGTGAATCCTTTGTCGTCGTTGTGGTGTGAAACATTTCCCATACAAACGTGAAACACTCATTATTATTCGAATTACATAAAAACGGTTGTGAACACACAATTGTTTATATATAATTAATTTTATCGTATTTATTACACACATTACAATGATACGAATACAACGATATTATAATATGGTATTGTGGAGTTATACATATAAAAAATAAAATATGTATATCGATGATATCGAATATATTCAGCCGTTGTATTTGCATTGGTTAAAATGTAAAAGTGTTCTAATTTCATATACATTTGGAATGTGAAGTACAAATTAAACGCAACCTATCATAAAAAAATGAGAATAAAAACGGAACCAACCACAAATTAAAAATGTTGTAAAACAAAAAAAGTGAAGTTTGACAATGTCCAACTGCACTTACACCTGCGGATAACTGCCCTCTATGCCTGCAGTCTTCCATTCATATGTTTTTTTCTGAATTCATTGAATATGCCTGTCGATTGACAGACTAAATGGTTGGATATTATATGCAATTCAAAGACGTATCAATAGATACTTAGTCGGTTGGCCGTCGTCATTGTCATTATGTACGAACATAAAATATATAGTGCCCGAAGGCTAAGACATATTATACCAATTCATAATAATATACGGTATTTTCTCTAATGAAATAATTGTACATTTACACCTACCTATACGTATATAACATAATATATAATGGGATATTATTTATACATTTCTGTTTTATTTTTATTATATCTCTGTCCCTTTCTCTAACTCGCTGTTTCTTCTTATCCGCGACTTACACACGCGTTTGATTTAACATGTAGTGTTATAAATGCTGTATTGACGTTATTATACATATATATTATGTATTATACACATTACACACACACACTCTGCGGGCAAGGTCGACCCGCGAGATCTTCGGCGGCGGTGTGCGTACAATATATTATACATATACGATAAATATATATAGTATATACCTACTCTTTCGGTGGCGGCAGCGGGGTAACCTTCCTTCCCGGCAGACGTCGACGAAAG